TATTCTTGTTTGAAAAAATAATTACAATACTTTACATGGATTTAGAAAACTGAAACTTATTAGAATGCTCAAAAATGTATATTTATGAATTCATCCTGAAGAGCAGTTTTGAAATATCACAATCACAAAAGTGCTGATTAAAGGAGCATAAACAAAGAATGAATGATATAATAGTTATCTAAAAAGATTATTATTTAGTAGAAAAATATTTTTAAATTTTAATCTTTCTTCTTGCTTATTAAATAGTATAGTAGAATAGTAGAATCTCCATCAACCAACATCCACAAGGATTGGTAGATGCCAAATAAATGTATCAATAGTTTCTGGTTGCTTGAGAGATGCTATTAAAAATAGGCCTAACTAATACTATACCAAATACTATGCAATAGCATATCATAAACTCTGAACTGACTTGATATTAGTATTGAAATACAGTAATTAAAAGCAAATTAAGACAAATAAAGACAAACTTAACTTAATGTAAGTTATTATAAAAACAGTTTTATGCATTTTAGTTAAATGGGAGTGAAAGACAATCATGTGATGTGTGAAGCATGGGCTTGCTCATGGCACAGTGCACCAAGTTTAAATTTACATTTCCATTACATATTGATTTTACTTTAAGTTTTACTTAAAGTATTATTTCTTTGATTTGTTTACCGGTGCTTGAGTTCTGGTTAATGAAGAGTCTACTGTAATCATCATGTCATATATAATGATTAAAAATTCTCTTATTATTGATATAATTTCAAATCATTTATTTAGTCTTTTGAAACTCATCAAAAATTGTTTCAGAAGTGATAGCTATTGATCCCTAATAAAAATAATCAAATAAGATTTTTATTAGAAATATTTTACAAATAAAGAATTACTATAATAGTTATTGTAATTGAGATAAGACAGTATAACTGTAGATTTCTTCATACAAGTAAACTATATAAAAATATTTTATATTGAAATAAAATTTCTCCTCTGATTAAACACTTTTTGAAGTTCTGAAGTCAGCCAATAGTGAAAGATATTTGAATACTTCAAGCATTCAAAACATTTGGCATTCAAGATTTGCACTGTTTAGAGAGAATTGGTTTTTGATCATCTCACCACAAAACATTTGATTTAAATTACTTTTGTTAGTTTAATATAGTTAAAAATTATTATTTTTTGATATTTTAATTAGTTTTTGTGTTATTTTCATTATAATTTTGTTTATTTGTTGTATAAAGTATCTTTACTGAAATAAACATATTTCAACTTAAACTGTTAAAACATATATAGTATATACACAGGATCAGATCAATGAATGAGACAATCAGATGACTGCCTCAAGTGGCAATATGAGCAGTCAAAACATTCAAAAAAAAATATATATATATATATAAATAAAAACAATAAGCCAAATACAATGAAGTTCTGTAAATGCACTTTAAAGTTTATAAATAGTTCATACAAGAATGCCAGAGCTAGAAGTGTTCTCAACCGTTGGCAACCGTTCTGCAAGCAAGATTGGCAAAAATTAGTTTTGTCTCAGATGTAAGTTACCATCAAGCTAGCACTGTATATATACTGGCTTGATGATAACTTGCATCTGAGGCAAAACTCTAAAGTGCATTTATGGAACTTCACTGTATTTCTCATACTGTATAGAAAAAACTATTTGACCAAATGCAACCAAATTTAATGTGCATACTTTTCTGACTATGAAACCAGATAAAATTTAATGTTCCATATCATATCATCACTTATGCCACAGGAAAAAAAAGAAGTCAGAGTTACATTTATTAAAACAGTGTAAATGAGCATCCCCATTTTACCATATCCCAATATAATGCCAAACTTACCTAATACTAAAAAATTAATTTGAATGAATCATCCACTATCTACATAACGTGAGTACTGCTAAAATTATTCCACCTCACTAATACCAATTTTCCCCAACAAACACCAGTTTATTTTTTAGCAGTTTTTAACTTTTATTTGTGTATTTATACTTCAAAAGAAGGTAAAATGTAGGTCTCTATAGAATTTTGAACGTTAAAACTGAGCTGTGGGTATGTTGAGTATATTCTTGACAAAGGCACAAACAGGAATTAAACACTACAGATAGAATGACAGATCCAATGGAGCCGACATAATGGGTCAGAAGTAATTCACTAGTTCAATTCTTTACATTCTGAGGAGATAATAACTTTCTCAATTTGCAAAGTTCCTAGAAATAGAATTAAGAAGGCAACCAGAGATGATAATATAAAAGAATATAAAAACAGGTCTGTGAAACTTTACTGTCTTAATCTCTAAATATGCTGTGCTTATGATATCCACTAAAAGAACTATGCTGACCTTTTGGATAAAGCTCTCTTTTGAGATTTGTGTTTAAAAGAGCCAATATCTGAAGGCAACTCAGCAAGCTTTTGTGGAAAAAATACAAATAGCAAAGACTGAATTGAAAGACTGAAATGAATGAAAACATCTTGCAAGCATGAACAAGATGGTTACAAGAACCAAGTGCAAAATTAAGCACTTTTCTTGGTACATATGAACTGAGAAATGTGTATAATATGGATAAAAGGCTTGCTTTATTTAATGTAGCCAGTTAAGACCATTTCATCTGTACTCAAAAAGGGTTAAAAGGAAGCAAAAGACAAGATCATATCAGTGTTTAATGCAAACACTGATGGAAGTGACAAGAGAACAATAACAGTTATTGAAATAGCTTTAAAACTAAGATGCTTCAAAAACTTCAATCCAAGTCTTTATGTAAACTATCAACATAACAAAAAGACATGGATGACATCGATTGAGTTCAACTACTGACTAAAAGAATTCAACAAAAACATAAGGCAATCCAACAACAGTAGGAAATGGTAATTTTCTACTACTGTTGGATAATACTCCTTGTCATAAAATATAAATGCTAAGCATATCAAGATAGAAATAAAGCAATGAAATTTAAGGAATAAATTCTATCTTTGGATGCTGAAATCATCAAATGTTTTAAAGCATATTATTGATGGCACCAGCTCAAGCACATCATTAATTTGATTAATAATGACAAGCAAATAGATGTGATCATAAGAGATGATAGTAAAACAATTTGACTTCAGAAATAATCTGAAACTGTTGGAGCTACAGCTGGTTTAATTCAATTCTCAAATCTTGTTGATGAGGATAATATAGCAGAAGACCTTTAAAACAGTTATCCAATCTGTAAACCCTTGTTCCAATAGATCATCCATTAACAATAGAAGGATTGCTGATAGTCACAAATCAGAATTATTTTCCTTGATCTGTATCTTTTACTCCCTACAGATTGTAGCTCTCATAGGTTCTTGTCATAAAACACACCAACATATGAAATCAAATTTTAGTTTAAGACAGAACAAGCTATTTTGTTTTCATTCGGTATTGATCTCTTAAGATTGGACTCAATAATGGAATCCTAAAACCTTTACTCCTCTTTGAATTTGGCATTCTCTTCAGAATAAAAGCACATCATTTCTCCTTAAAAAGTAAATCCCAATTTTCCGTCAAACATTTTCACATGCTTCCTGCTTATTTTTTCAAAAGTACATCTGAAATTCATAATTATAAATAAATCATTTTGAATTTAAAGCATATGAACATTCAATACTTTCATATGATCCTGACACTGACATTTCTTATGCAAGTCAAAAGAAGTACAGGAACATATAGGAGAGTAAAAACAGCATCTGCTAAATAAACATAGTTGCAGAGGAAAGACCAAGAAGCAAACCAAATAGTAAATTATATGTTAAATATGCCAAAATGAATCATATGCTTAAAGCAAGTGTGAAAGTCTAATTTTATCATTTTCCTTTTGTGTCTCTATGCATGCCATGAGGGCATGTTACTCATAACAACACGGCAGATATATAGCAATTGATTTGTATGTGCTTTTGTTATATGTGTTCTGAAATTGTCCAAAATATTTTTCATAAGTGATTGTCTGCTGCAAATGTTTACATACCTTTCTGTAACATTAAGAAAAAATAGAGAAATAAAGTAGCAAATTGTTACAAGCTGTAATATTTTCCCTATATTGTTATAACATTTATTTATATCTCATTATGTAATATTTCAAATTAACTGAAATAAAAACCTGAATATATAATTTGTAATTAAAAAAAACTTATATAAATTACATTTTAGAATCATTTCAAATAATTATCTTTTACAATCAACAAAATTTTGTCTTATTATGATAGATTGATATTACTTACATAATAAACTTATTAAATAGTGAACTGCATTTCCTAATCACTCTGGCTGTACGAGATTCTTCTTCTTGTGATCTACTAAATTCTAAACCATCATCCATTTTTCCTTCTTCAGACATAATAGCCTGTTAAATTTATAAAAAAAAACTTAAAACAATCTAAATAGTTTTTAAATTTCTTGTTGACAAACTCACTGTCATATGAATATCAAGCTATGTTATGTGAGATTCTGAACCCTCCTTTTCCCCCAACTTTCATTGTGTACCAATTCCCAGGGAGTTTTGGACAATTAATTGATTAAAATTAATATGCAGTTAATTATAAAATGAAAAAACCCACTTTCTTTTTCCTCCACCTGCTGTTTCCATTGACCTCTAGCATGAAGATAAAAGATGATCAAATAACCTTACAAATCAACAATCTTTAATGTTGTTTTGAATAAGTTTCAGAGATAAATTCAAACATCTAATTATTGATAAGGAAAAATGCCAAAATCGGTTAAATTATGAGGTAAGAATAGTCAGAACACCTGGCAGTAAGTATCAATAACCTGGCTGAGTTGTCAAATTTTTATGGCCTGTATCAGCTGGACCAGTGACACATCCCAACTTTAGACCACATTAAATCAAAATCACCTGATTCTACTCCCATGCTCGGGGAGAATAAAAAGAGCTCGCACCCAATTGTCGCCAAAAACTGCCAACTTCTTGCTAGTCCACCTGTCAATTGTCTCTCCACTGATATCAAATCTCAGAAGACTTTGCCATCCGAGTTAAACACTTAACGAGGTATTATGTTAGTCAACTGTATGTAAACTCTCTCTCAGTCTTTAGTTTGTAAGTAGATAAATAGTCACTTAGAAATTTGGTCTCTAATTGGTTAATAGTCCCTCCCTGGAATAATTAACAGTTGCCTGGTTAAGAGGTCCTAATGAACCTCTTAACCAGACAACTGTTAATTATTCCAATTCAGATTGTCTCCATCTCTTGTAATCCTTTGTTTTTATATTAAACTTGTTAAGTTATTTAAATGTTTGCTTTATCTCATATATTGCTGACATCTTATCAACAACCTCGCTAACCCTTCCCATTCGTACTAACTGAAACCATCCACTGACATTGTAAGTAGTCATCAATGGACCAACATCGAAAAAAGGTTAAGCATCACACCTTCACCCCAGCTTCTCATAGTCACATTCAAATGAAGAAAATGTTTTGTTCTGATGATATAAAAATTCTTTTTGCATGCTATTTTATTATACAAGAGAAAGTTGGTAAATAATCACAAAAAGCTTATTTAAAAAACTAAAGTAAGTAAAAACTTGAAAATCATTTTTCATCACATTACTAAGTTTTCTTACTTCTCAACATAATCCCTCACCATTGTTAACGTATCTAATCATTTTATCTAAACCTCAATACCATCTGTATAAAAGTCTCGGGTCTGCTGTCTCACATGCCAAGTAACAGAGAAAAATATATAATCACGGCATAATTTACATCAATCAAAAGTGTATGACCTAATGAGTATCAATCAAAAATAAAAACACTAATTTTTTTCAAAGAACAAAATTATGAGAGTTTGAAAATAAGGTTTCCATTTTGATTGCTTTTTCATTCATATGCAAGAACAAATGTGTAATTAATATGTTTGTAGTGCATCATATTGCTTAAATAATGAAAATAATTACCTTTGTTATTGTGAAAATGCAGTTTTGATTCTTATCAAGGAATTTAACAGTTATTGCAAATTTTATAAAATTTTTTCAAACTATCCTAGCTTTTTCCTTTGAGAAAATCAGTGTTTTGATATTTGATTGATACTCATTAGTTCATGTACTTTCAATTGATGTAAATTATGCCATTATTATGCATTTGTTTCTCTGTTACTTGCTGTGTCAGCCATACACATAACTCACATTAAACATCTTATTACTTGAAAAACATTTGATTCCAAGATTTTTTTGTCTTGTCATCTCAATACTAAGTAAGATGTTGTAAGAACAGACCCATTCATTTCATTTTGCGTTCCTCTAAGTTCTTTTGACATCCCTTGTGCACTCACTTTACAGAAATCCAAACAATCATGCAGCCTCTACATCAATTACTGTGTAGACTAAACCAAGAGAACATCTTACACTGTCTACAGCTCAAATCATCATCTCCAACCTCTACAAGATTGCCTCTGTCACAATTTCATATGGCAATCAGAACAATCTTCATCATCAACTTTTGAATGTCCTTGAGAAAATTTATTGACACTGTAAACAGGAAACATTTCCTTGTGAATTTCCTTTACATGAACTGTACAGATATATGACACTTAGAGTCTACTACTGCAATTAATTAATGTAAATTGTGTTTCAGCTACAACCTAATAACACTTTTAGAAATTACTGCTATCTTTTACTATTACATATCAGTTTGTAACTTATTTAATGACTTTCTCTTGTATTTATATATTTTAATCATTACAGCGGTGCATTAGAAAAATAAAACAATTTTTTTTGTATATACATTGTATATAATATACTTGGAATTTACTTAAATATGTCAAAAGTTTCATTAAGAAAAAATAAAACTAAATGTAATAATAATTCAATTTTATTCAACTTATCACAATAATTTAGTGAAATGAGCAAAGTAGAAAATGTAAATTCTTACTTGTTTCTCTTCTACTTTTCCAACTCCTCGTTTTTTTGTTTCATATGTCTGCATGAAAAGTTCAACAGAAATATAAGAATAGGTATTTTTATTTAGAATATGCAAATAATTTAGAATATAATTAGCAGAACAAAATTTCTGAAAATTGGATTTGGTATGATAACTAAATCCTGGAAATTGTATACCTTATAGGATAACCAAAGACCTGTTTCTAAATGTTGAAGAAAAACTGTAGTATCACCATACTTTATAAGAGGTGACCCAATTACTTCTTCTTCTTTTTCATCTAAAATAATTTTCTTATCATCCTAGATAAAAACAAATTAAAATTGTATATTAAAAAATATAATTTTATAAAAGGAAAATCTTTACATTAAAAAGTATACTTTTGTTTGGCGAAGACAGAATGCAGTTGCTGCCACAGTTGCTTCTTCTCTGGAAACTAAACATACTTCTCTATTTTCAGTAAAACCCATATATCTTCCTGTTGTTATATGACGAACTCTTAAAGGATATCCCCAATTAATAAATCCACCAGCCCACCTGTATTTTAAACAAGCCTTTTAATTTTGTACACACAAATATTTATATCATTTATATTTATTATTATAAAAATAAATTATGAACTTTTACTATTCATTTGAAATAAACAATTACAGTTATATAAATTATTTTAAATATTTATCTAAGAATATTTTATTTTCTTTAATATATTTATTAATTTACTTACTTTGTCCTTACTAATTCTAGTCTCCATAAGGATCTAGCTTGATTAAGAACAGCNGCAATGATTTGTTAGTATTGATTAAAATTTGATCATGAGTACTAAAAGTTATTGATATATGAAATATATGTAAACTATTGATGGTTAAACATTAAAAGTTAGCAGTTAAACTGTAGCTAATTGTAATTAGGAATAAACATCTTGGCAATGTTAAATGTTGTTTACAATATTCTTATTTAAAACGTAAAATTTTTATTTCATTAAAAAATTATATTAATGTAAAAAAAAGGATTTTATAAAATCCATTATTCTTATTAAACAAATTATATCTGCTAAAACGAGCACAGTGTTTGATTCTACGATGATTGAATATTGTATTTATCTAGCAAATTACAGTTTATTCAGTTGTTAGCATAGATTAATAGAAATCATATCTATGTAAAATGTTGTTTACATGTAATAATTTGCTTTTTTATATTTTTATGATGTATTTAATATAAATTAATGTTTGTTGTACATTTTATCTTTAAATCACAGTTCTTATATTTATAGTCATTGTATTATATTTAATTATATTTTTAAATATTTTTATTTAAAGAAATCAAGTTGGAATTATTTTAGTCAACATGTCTGCTTCTGCAATTTATGTTCTTGATTTAAAAGGCAAGGTAAATAACACTTTTTATTGTCTATCATAAGTTTTTATTGAAATTTATAGAAAATATGATTCGGAAAAGATAAAATTTAATTAAATGAATTTAATAAGTTAAAAAAATGACAGTGCAAACTTTTAAAATCATATTATGAGAAATCAGCAAATGTATTCAATGTTATATTAAGCTCTGAAAAAGATGTAATAAATAAGTTTAAATATTTTTTGCTTCTTGTAATTATTTATGTAATTAATCAGAAGAATATCACAACTAAATTTTATTAGTTAAAATTAAACAAAGATTATCACATCTTTTTTCTCCGGCAATTTTTATTTTGCAGACATTTTAAGGTTTATTAACATTGTTCTGTGTTCCAAATCCTATACCTTTTGGAATGTTCTTTCATAAGTCATATTTAAAAATGAAAGAACGTGTGTTCCACATCTAAAATGGTTTTTATCTGCTGTTCAGTAATGGCTTTATGCCTGAGGATTGGTGTATTAAACATCCATCTACTGACATACTTCTGATGTTAGCCTAATTATGGTCAAATTGCAAAGGAATTTATAAAAGTTCAAAAATTGGTATTATATGTGCAGAGATCTCTACACGGAGTTCTGTGGAGAGTTTCTCACCAAACTCCAATAGTATGTGGATTCAAAAACTTTCACTTTGGGACTTGCAATTTTTGATAACAATAACTGGCTGATAACATTAAACAGATGATAAAATTTTAATTACTGAATTTATTACAAACGATTACAGTGTGTCATGTACAATTTGTATTTATCGTAAACTATGCACTTAATACAACGTTACACATTTATACATGCTACATTTCTTATAAACAATTGTTTTTAACTCATCAGATCAAATTAAACAAGAGAAATCATGATAGGAATGTTTATATCCAAGAATATGCTTCATGTAAAGATCTACAATACATGTATTTTCTAAGAATTTTTGTCATGCCCTTACAGTATGTAAAAGATAACAGTTTTTTCAGTTAAAATTAAGCAAAAAAAGGTCCATTTAGTGTGAATTTTCAAAGAATTCTTATCACTTGTCCCAAAGTGTAATTATCATAATTTATGTAATAGTTGAAGTTTGATTATACTAGACAGATTATTTTTAACTAATTTTATATAGTGTTCTTGGACTGGTTGATTATGATAACAATAGCTGATTGATAACATTATCCATGATTATAATAACAGAATTTCACTGTATTAATTATAATAAAATGGCATAAAGCTTAATTTTAAGTGTAGAGATAAGTTTTATAAAATTGTAAATGCTAATAACAAGTAAAATCTTCATTAAATCTGACCCTGCTTGAGATATGACATATAACCCTTCCCTCTATCTCTCCCTCCAATCCCCTCAACCTTTAACCACCAAAATTTACTAGCATCAATCCTTGTAATATACAAATCTTCCTGCAAAATTTCAGAAATGTTTGACAAAAATATGAGAGTTATTAAGTTTCAAAGAAGATGAACAAAGTCATGCCCCCCACACACACCCATATGGAAAAACCCCCAAATTTTTTCAATTTCTTTGTCCCAAGTCCAAAAATGTAAAAATCTTGGGGTTCATTTTTTGACTGATCACCATACTTTTCCTGTTATATATCGTATTAACACAAGATTTTTATTTATTTTTCACTGCTTCAAAAAATTAGGTTGTCCTATAAGCATGAGCAAAGGATTCTTTGCATTTTTCAATAATTTTTGTGAACCATGTATAGTTCATGCTGTCATTATAGCACAGTGCTATCGAGGTCAAGGTGAATGTCACTTTCAAAGAGACGGTCTGAAAATAGCTTTCAGGAAAGGAATGATTGGTTGCTATTTCTAACTCATTAAATACCAATCTACAGTCTATTTATGGTAAGTTGACACCTACTGTAAACAAACTAAGACACATCCCCCTTTGTTTATTGGTTTAAATCTACATCCATCAATTAGAAACTGCATTGCATCTCATTCGTCCACAGAAAATAGTTCCTTGTTATTTATAGAATCATTAATGAAATACTGATCACTTAGCAATGACTATAAATATAGTTATTTCATATTTGTTAAATTGGTATTTTTAATAAATATTTGCACATTCTAAATAATTAAAAATAAACTTTTTCCAGTCATGCAAATTATAATGTTTTGGTTTTGCTATATCAGTATCAGTTGCATGAAAAAGTATTTCCCAAGAGCTGATAGCAAGGTCATTCAAGAAATACTGCATTTCAAATTCACTCAATGGATCAGAGGATGATGCTTTGTGGAATGAGAGTGAAAAAGAGGAGAGTTGTAACAAAGCTTCAGAGAGTGAGTCCAAGTAGACTAAAGGTGATAGCATCAAGAAAACATGGTTGTTTGCCTTAATATATGCATTTGATATTTTACTTGATTAAACAAAATAAAATTAG